TATCTGTGTATATAATTAATTAACTATTAAAGTATTTATTTGTTTATTTGTGCTTACTTATATATGTGGAAGTTGGGAAATCTTGACCTGAAAAAAATGGGATTTGGAAATTTTGGAATTACGCACATAATGACAAAATCTAATCATGGGCACACCTCTCGATGACAGGCACGATTGGCGCGTGTCATGGACGCGGGGGTGAGCATTTATATATTTATATATTTATATATTCATATATTTATATATTTATATATTTATATATTTATATATTTATATATTTATATATTTATATATTTATATATTTATATATTTATATATTTATATATTTATATATTTATATATTTATATATTTGTATATTTATACATTTATATATTTGTATATTTATATTTATATTTATTTACTTATTTATTTACTTACACACAAACACACATATATATATATATGTATATTATACATATATAGACTGTTCTTTATACTCTTTGTTAGGAATCTCATGTTAAGGCCATGGTGTGGAACCTCCGCTTAGCTGCTTGGCTTCCTGGTCCTTGAACTCGGGCCTAGAATGCCGCCTGGGCGGAGTGGTCTGGAGGCTATCGTCCAGACACGCTGTTATGTCGGGCCTTGTGCTTCTTGCGGGGGGGGGGGGGGGGGGGGGCCATCCCACATCTCCTCATATACACGGGCCCAAAGTTGTCCCATGCTTCGTTGGTCGAAAAAGGCTGCCTTTCATGCCGAAAAGTCGGAGATGCAGCTGGGACGCAGGGCGGGATCCTTCGGTCGGGGGGTGGAGAAGTGGCACACGTGCTGATTTCTTGCCAGCGCCGTTCACTTCTGAAACAGCGATTGATGTCAGATCTGAAACTCTTGAAGTCGTTTCTGAATCGGGGATAGCTTGTGCCTCCATAACCCTTGATCAGACTCGATCGGACAGCTCGGGCAACTGCAGGGGGACCATATGTGGGTTGCAGAGCAGCTCCTTGAGAACCGAAGGATTCTATGCGAAACATCTAAAACTCTAAGATCTAAAGAAACTGTCAAACTTGCTTTGCACCTGAACGTGAGGCATCGAAGAGCTTCACAGCATTGGAGGTCTGTCTGACTTCCCGTAGCTGTGTCTCCAACCTAGCCCTGGAAGCAAACCCGAAGCACCGTACCGTCTGGAGCCCAAGCTTCCCTGGAACCAACAAAGCCACCCAAGGCCCGCACAGCAGCGCGACGATGCCAGCACTGATCCGGACATAGGGCGAGTTCATGCCTGGGTGGCTCATCACCCTTTTCCCTGCATGACTTGAAGCTCGGAAGGTCCCCCCGAACCCAAGAGATGAGGGGTTGGGTCGCCAAATGCCATGCGAGCGGCGCTCGGCTTGCTCCGGGCTTATACTGTCATCTGCGTGAAATTCCTGGCGCCAGGGCAAGGCTCGATGTGACCACGTCCAGAATCCCCGCGGACCACCATGCAAGGCAGAAGACTTGGCTTCAACTCAACGCGACCGCACCAATAATCATCCAGCTCTCTCCCATGATGCAAACCTGCTGAACCTAGAACTGGAGACCCTGTCCCCTAAACCCTAAGCCCTAAACCGCCTCGGCAACCGACATGTTGGTGGTGAAGTTGAGCCTGCCAGCATCAGCCAAGAACATATGGGGATTTACGATATTAGGGGGTATCCTTTTTGGGGGTTCCTAGAATGAGGATTACAGCATTTTGGGGGTATATTAGGGTTACCCCCTATTTTGGGAAACCCCCATATGAGCAGAATGATACCAAAGTACTAAAGTGGCAGTTTGTTCTTCGAGGATGCCTGATTGTCACAGATGTCAAAGATGCTTTGGCAGGGTGCTTCTCTAATTTTAGCCTTTGCCGGGGCAGATGCCACCGTTGGCCCACTGTAAACAGAAAAGCATCCACCATCTGACATGCGTAGCGCCACGTATCACTCGCACATGAGACAGGGTAGAGTAAATAAAGGCTCCACAGCCTGCAGCATCATAGGAATCCGATAAGGGGAACATACTTTAGGGAACTGACCACGTGTTCTCCGAAACTCCGGATTCCGAGTGTAAGGGCCAGACGCAGTACGCGCGAAAACCAACACCATCGCCGTCCCAGCGAGGCACATGACCCTGGCAGGAATAGTCTCTCAAGAATGCTGCCTCAACCTACCCACTCCATTGCGTGCTGCCAGCAACAGCCCCCAAACAGCTTGCCGAGTTCCCAAGGAAACGCAGCTGCCAACACAAAACACCCCCTTGGAGGTACCGAAAGTTACCTCCAAAAGTCACCAGTCCGAGCCTGTGAGTCAACTTCTCCATCCTCGCATTGTGGAAGCGCAGAGTAAAGGGCCCCAACATGGCCAGTCGACCCCGGCCAGCCTTCCTGAGGCTTCTTTGAGTTTTGAGATGCTAAAATGCTGCTGACCACGTAGCAATTCAGGTCGTGCGTGCGAAAACTCCACGCGCATGCGTTGCCTTTGCGCCTTATGGCCTGGACAACTTGAAACCATCCACCTACCCCATTGCACACTACTGCCAGTGCCAGCACGAAATGAAACGTTGTTGATGGCAGCAGATGCTGACATTCTCCACCTCATGTACGCGGCAAGAACCTCCAAGTCCCTTGACAAAACCCGACAACTTGAATGCGACATCCCAGGAAAACATCCCTGTACGGTCCTGGCTTGGGGGTCTTCTGGAACGTGCGCTTCTTAAGAGGACACGCTCCTAGCCCTACATAATGCCATAGACAACGTCACAGCAAAAATGCAAAGCAAGCACGCTGCTTTTCTACAGGGTTGCTTTGCAAGGCGATCATCGCCACCGACTTCCACGAGCCTGTCGGCTTAGCTGCTTCAGCTGTCCTGTGAGCGTTCAACATGAATGCATTTCCTAAACGAGAGCGGTTTACGAAGAACCTACCAAGTAAGGTATCTGCTTAATGTTGGGCCTCGACATCCCACGCCTTTGGCCTTAACTTTCAACTCCTAAATCGTGTGAAGAATGTGAAATTTCAGAGGACAGCCTTCATAGTTACATCCCTGTCTGAAAACGTCTCCAACAACGGGACAACTTACAAGAAACCTCAAGCAAGTCAGTCCATTTCCTTGAACCTAGGGCGTAGTGAACGTCCGAACAATAAAGGCACTCCCCGATGCGCACAACGTGCACAGCCTCTGCAGAAACTTGGGCCCGAAAGTGCAAGCCAATGGAGTCTTCGCAGGACCGAAATGCCTGGCCTGGCGCAGCAGCAGCAGCAGCAGCCGTATGGAAGGTCATGAGACACTTAATCCTCGGCAGATCGGCGAAGTACAGGAATTTACCATGCACCTGCTGCAATGTTCATGTCACGCCGAGAAGAGCGCTGCTTTCTGAACCCATTTTACACATGCAAACCTGATGGGTGTTCCGCAACACGCAGCCTCTCTCCGACTCCTGGAGGTTGTTCTCTGAAGGCCCAACCTATACACGTGTTTCTTCTCCACCCCCCCTGAAATTTAGAGACGTTACGTCAAGCACTTTGCCTGGTAAGCTTTTCCCAGCCAAAGGATGTAAGTTGAAACATCTCTCACCCCAGCATGCACATGTGAATACCTTTTAGTTCAGAAAAAATGGGTTGTATTGTGTGGGTGCGGAGACTATTGTCCATGGGCAGGTTCACAGTTATCATAACACTTGGCACAACGCCAAGGCCCGAACGCAAGCATGAGCCAGATGGGCGGAACTTTTATTTGACAGCTAGAGCCAAAAACAGAGCGGATTGCTTCAGGTACATGATGGTACATGGCTTCTGCCAGTCAAGATGCGCGCACGATGAACTTTCGTGGTAGTTCTGTCCTCACTCACTTCGCATGAAATCGGAGAATGATAAGGAAGATGCGGCATGAACCAGGCTTCTCAGATCCTCTCAGCATCCACTTCAATTCAACAAGCTGCTTGCTCCACCTGGTCGGTCAGTTTGCCGACACTGCAAGTCTTCAGATGAAATCCCGGCTGCATCTCGCAGACTTTTTGCAGCCTCCCAACTCACCTGAGTGCCAGGCTCTGTTATGGTCCTTTGTACAGCTTACAGGATGCCACACCTTGGTGGCAGCCCACACCAAGATGAAGATGCGGAGTATTAACGTCACTGAAAGGAGATGTCTGCCAACACCTTGGTACTGCACAGGCTCATGGATAGCTCTGGGGCTAAGGACAGAAGGTTGTGGCATTGAGGACACAACCGTGGCGCGCACTGTTCAATTCACTTGACGGCATCTGTCCCTTTTTTGCTTTCTGCCGACAATGGCAACTAGCAAATGCCTGTGGCTTACTTCCCGACTTTGCGCCAGGAGTTTCATTATCTCGCGTGCCACTGCAAAAATGCGTGGCATCTTGCACCGGCATGCTGCAAGCTGCATGGTGATGACACCATGCACCCCCATCACGCACCAACTTGCACGTCCGTGTTCGAAAGTACAGGTATGCGGGGTAGCCGCATACGTCATCTGCATTCGTGCTGTGAGGCGGCATGGGTCCTGCTTTCAGCCTGAGCAGATGCAAGAAGGGACTTCAAGACTCTCCGAGAGAGAGACACACACAGAGACAGACACTGTACAGACTCAGGCCGGGAATACTCCTTCCCACAGCGCCGAGCATGGTCGACAAAAACTTTGATAGGTTTTGCGCCATTGCTGGTGGAACAGCAGCCGTGCCTGTTGAAGCATGTTGAAGCATTAATGTTGTGTGTGTGTGTGTGTCTTCGTGTCTTCCAGGCACTCTGCGGTGCAAAGAGGCACTACGTAATCTGTCTAGCACTGCGCGAGGCCAAATGGGTACGACCAGTCTTGTTGAGCAAGCCTTGAAACGGTCACCTGAAACGTTCTCTTATCCGTATATGCTAACCGAAACCTTGGTGACTTGCCCTACATGAGATGTTGCCTCGCCTCTAAATTTGAATTCAAGCAGCTAATGTGAATTCAAGGGCGGCTTGCAGACTCTGCCATGCCTTTCGGTTAACCCATCATCAGCTGTATTGCGAGGCCAGCTTCTTCTTCTTCTCCTGAAGATCAGGGCTCAGGAATGAACAGTCAGCATCGAACTTGCTTGCCGCGGACAGCGTGTGGTTGTTGGGAGTGCAGCGAGTTGGAGAATATCTATTTGTTCATGTTTATCTTCAGGGCAGGCAGCTTCCCCCATCCCCCATCATGCCTCGATGCTGGTTGCCTTCAGACGGCCATCATTGGAGGCGACATTCAGTTTCCTCGATACTTCCGCAGCATCACAAGCCACAGGTGACGTTGCAGCAGTCAGCAATCGGAAACAGCAAGAGCAATGAAACATTTCACACAGCAATCCTGAATGTGATGTGCTCCATCGTTACAAGCCATATCAACTGAGGCTTGCGATCAAAGTACATGAACGCACACGACCGGGCCAAAGGTGGCCAAAGCAGGTGCAACTCAGTTTCTGCTATGGTCATCCAAGACACACAGACTGTGTCTTCCCGGTCTGCTCCACGGTTCCCTCGACCTAAGAGGACTACAGTGGAGAACTCCGACAATCAACTCATAGCGCTGCGAAAGAAACGAGCCCTGTTTGACCAGATGCTGGCCGGGCCACGGTAAGCATGCCACTGTCGTCGATGGCAAACATGACCTTGATATCTGCACTGCCCGCTGGCCCTGGAGGGATTCCGGACAGGGTGAAGTCTCCAATTCGATGGTTCAGAGCTGGCTCGGATTCTTCACCTTCATACACCCGTATCCATGCTTCTGTCTGTCCGTCCTTGAAGGTTTGAAGGGTTTGGCTGCGCCGCACTGGATAGAGGTGATGGCGAGGTACCACCACATGCATCACTTCTTTGAACTCATTTGACAGGACAACGGCATCACCGAATCTTTTCTTGTCCATCAGCGACACTTTTGATAAACGCTCTTCCTCAGGCAAGCTCTGGTCCTGCTCCAGCTTCTCCCCAAAGCTGCTGTCAGGGCACAGAGAAGCCTGCGCCTTGGCTCCATCCACGTTGTTCTGCCTCAACAATTCCCTAGACTTCATCCGGCACAACTCATCCACAACCTTTTGGGAATTCTTTGCCGACTGGCTGGATTGGCGTAGCTCAACTGTGGCGGTCGTCGTGCCTCGCAGGCTCGTTGCAGCATCTGTTGCTTCCAACTCGACCGTCATCTGACCCTGCTCTGGTGCCGCACCAGTAGCAACAAGGCTGAAAAAAAGCTCTTGGTCATACATCGACACGTCTTTGAGCCTGCACTGGACTTGTTGAGACCCTTGGCCTTCCGGTTGTTGGAAGCAGGTGGAAGGCAAACTCGCCGCATTGACTGCAAGGCGACCCATCGTGCGAATATTGACATTAACATTCTGCGCACGGACCTGCGAAGGGTTGAGTCAACTGAGCTGCGAGCTGCGTTCGGGGTTCAGGTTTCAGGGTTCAGGGTTCATGTTGGTTAGGGTTTAGTTTAACTGTAGTGAAATGTCCTTAGCCAGGAATTGGCCCAGCCAGCAAGCGGAATAGTGTCCCCACCCCGGGCCTTCTGTGCATCTCCGAGAATTTCTGCGAACACACCCTCCGCAGCATCTCCATCTCGTATGTAGTGGTAGAAGCCACCTCCTTGCCTTGCCATGCCCTCCAACAAAGGACCATCCAAGCTGTTGGAATCACCCGGAATGCCGAAGCCGAAGGTGTAGACGGAAAGGGAGGTGCCTGTGTTCTTGAAACTACTAACTGCTAGTTGTAGTTCCCGAGATGCCTCCGGCGGTGAATTCGGCCGTCCGTCCGTGAGAAGGATCATAGTTGCTCGCTGAAGGTTGATCTGCTCCCTGAGATTCTGCGCTGATGCCCTGATTCCGGCTGCCATGTTGGTGGATCCAACGAGCCGCAACTGTTCCACAAACTGAGCTGCGACTTTCTTGCCTGCATCGTCCATACTCATTGGTTGCAGCTCATGCTCACAAGCTCGATTTGAGAAAGTGCAGAAATGAAAGGTGACGGAGGGCCGTGCTTTGTTGATTACATTGACAAGGGCGAGCTTCACACTGTCGATCTTCGTCCTGCCACTTGCATCAAGATCGATCATGCTGCCAGAGACATCAATCAGAATGCTCACGTAGACCGAAGCCAGATCAGCAGCCGGAGCATTGCTTGCTGGTGGACGAACCCGTATTCCAACATCGCAAGCATGAGTGTGCTCATCGGTACTACTGTACTCCGGGAAGACGCTGAGTTCAAGGCCTGAGGCCGATCTCTCCTCAACAACGTACTGCTCTACAGGCTGCATCTCTGGGACACCCAGCGACAGTGGAATGACATCCATGGGCAGCGAAGAGGGATCGCTGATCAACCGCTCTGCACAGAGAGCGGCTCCATGCACCACGGCAAGCTCCGGATCGAAGGAAGCGTTGGCTTCGGGCATGTCGGTGTCAGGGAAGTGTTGCCTCAGTAGCTCTTGGACCCGTGGCATGTAGGAAGACCCACCCACAGCCAGCAGAATGTTCACATCTGAAGGCTCCAAGTTCTTCTCCCTCAATATCTGGAGCGGGACTGTTGGAATTCGATCGAAAAGTGAATCGCAACCTTGCTCGAAGTCCGTGCGCTTCACTGTGGCTTGCAGCACAGTGCCATCGCCACTCTTGAGATGAACGTCGGCTGCGCTCTTGCTCGACAGCGTCCGCTTTGCCTGCTCCGCAACTTTTTCTATCTCAAACCTTGGCTGCCAGAAGACCGCCATGCTGTGAAGCCTGCTTTTTCATGAAACTTGGACCATGCACCACATTCCTAAACTCACTTCGCAAGCAAGGTGCCGCAGGGAGGGGTCAACCTTGCCACCAGTATCCTCAAATTTGGACGCCAGGATGTCGGCGAGGCAGCGATCAAAATCTCGACCGCCAAAATGGTTATCACCACCAGTGCCAAGAACCTTGAACTGCTTGTGCTTCACATGCATCAGTGTGCAATCATAGGTTCCACCACCCAGGTCTGCAACCATGATGTAGTGATCCTTTTTGGGGTCAAGGCCGTGAAGGAGGCCAAAGCTGAAAGCCGCTGCTGTGGGCTCGGGCATGAGGCGAAGAATGTTCCAGCCGGCAAGCCTCCTGAGCTCAACGACAGCTCAGCAATTGAGACATGATGGCTACAACTGCTCTTGCAGCCAAGATTCCCTGCATCTCGCGTAGCCTTCCGCTGTCCATCTGAAAACTGGGCAGGCACGGTCACGACTGCGTTGCGGCATGGCAAGCGCAGCGACGATTCACAAACCTTCTTGAGCTTCATGAGAATAAATGCGGCTATCTCCTCCGGCAAAAACTTCTGCTCTTTCCCTTGAAAGACATAGCCGTCCTTCTCCAGACCCACAATGAGCGCGCTGTCCACTTCACCAGACCGACTTGTGTTGTCTATCTCATACTGGACTAATTCTTTCTGGTCTGCAACAGCACTGCTGTTTCTCGGCAGGCCCATGAGCCGCTTGCTCTCCCGCACCAGATACTGCCCTGAACAGTCTGGTGAATCCAAGGCCTCCTGACCAACAAGGACACCTCTTCTTTTGGAGAAGCACACCACGGAGGGCATGCAATATTTGTCTTCTTCTGCCAACATGGGATTCCAAGCGGCTTTGCCTGCTGCATCGGTTGTAGATTGGCCAATGCAGGAGTACGTTGTTCCAAGGTCTATCCCCACACCAACCTGCACGGTGTGCAATGACTCAATGACGGCAGGGCAACGCAGGAACAGTAAGAAATCAGTCTCACTCAGTGCAAAGGCAGGGCTGCAAATCGCGCCGCGAGCCTTGGCCTTGACTTCAACAGTCAGCGATGCAGAAGAAGTAGCGTTGAAAATGTCCTGGACGACCACCTGCAAACAAGGAAAGCTTTGCTGAGCGCGCGTCTCACAATGCAGAGAAAAACCCAGTCGACCTGGTACGTGTAGTAGCCAGTCTCCTCGAAACGCATTTTGACAAAGGATGATGCGAAGCTGCCACCAGTGACGCCTGGCAGCTTTGCATGCTGCGAACGTGGCATCCATTCGTAAGCCAGCTCGTGGCCATCTGCGTCTGTCGCCGTGCAGGCCAACTCAACCTGCATTACACTCGCAGATCAAAGCACTTCTACATAAGCAGAACATACACGAACACAAAGCACAGGACTGGGCACTTTCGACTGCGGGTGCCCTCCCATCCACAGTCCCTTTCATCAAGCTGCGTCCGCTGACAGAGCCCGGCATGCCCAGCAGAACAGTGCATGTGTGACAATAGCCACATCAAGTGAAATCATCCTAAGCGTCTACGGAAGTCTCAACACGAAACTCAGAGATGACTGGCTGGTGTCCCGATGCATTTGGGCAAACAGGCGTTTTCCTGCAAGCTTCTGCCCCAAATCACCCGATTCTCAAAACACCGCACCTCCGCGGACCCCCTTTGTGGTGGGGAGTTTTCTTGCGTGCTCTTCTGCCCCCTTCAAAACCAGAACCTCCAACCGCCCTTTTTTTGGGCCCTTACGGGACCCTTCAAGAAATTCTTGGGAGCCTTGGTTGATCTTGGTTGGAACGTTGAGAAGGGGCCAACGCCGCCTACCCACAAGCCTTTGGAGACCTGGAGGAGGTCCCATATCAGCGGAGCGCGAGTTCGGGACTACTGTGTTACACGGCTACCTGCTGCCAGTCAGTTGGCAATCCCAGTCCAATGGCCTCCTCGCCCTCCAGAATGGTGTAGTCACTGCCGCAGTCGATGGTCGGAGGCCTGTTGCTCTTTCGAGCAATTTGGCACTCCGTCTGCTGCTGCAAGCTGCTCAGACAGGCAGCAAGGTCAGCTTTACACTGCTTCTGATAGCTGAGAAGTCAAGTCTGTGTTGTCTGCTTCCAAAGAGTTTATCTGCCTGGTGTTCTTGCGCACATCTGCTTCCGCCCTGGCTGAACGATCCCTGAGCATGTGCGACTCCCCAGTGCAGTTCCGCAGGGTTTCTTGACACTTTGCATTCTGCTCCTGCAGGGAAACCATCTGCAAGCCTTGATGTCCTGATTTGGAGCGCTCATCTGCCAAGTCCTGCTGGATGGACTGCTTCTGCGCAGTGAGATTGGAAGCTTCAAATTCGCACGAGCCGAGATTGCGGCTCACAGCTTCATGGCTCTGGCTCAGAGTTTCATAGCTGTGTGAGATGTCGGCCTTCAAGTTTGCGCACTCTGCCAAGCTGTCTGAGAGGTCCTTCACAGAACCCTGGCACAAGGTCAGGTTCCGCTTCAGTTCCACCACGGCCTAATCTGCATGGAACTTGGACCACTGCGATTCGTTGAGATCCTTCTGGCAACTCTCCTGGCTGGTTGTCGTCTCCTGCAGACGAGTCCAAGTTTGACTCGACATGAAAGTCAGGTTGGAGGAGCTGCTCAGGCACGTGTCAAGGTCGGCAGTGCATTTGCGGAGTTCCAACTCTGAAGCAGCGTCGCGGGAGTGAACCGTACGAGGAGCCGTCATGTGGCCGTTGATCTGCACGATTACCTCGTACTTGCCATATGGGCGCACAACTGCTGTGAAGTAGGTACCATCACCATTGTCTCGCAAATCGTAGGTGATGTTCTCGTGCACACTGCTGGCATTCGACAAGCGGCCCAGTACATGGAGCCGGCATACATCGCCGCCCGTCGACAGCTCGTGGTCCAATCCATCGTGTGCGAAAACCTTGAGGTCGCTTGGTGTGCCTGCTGGCGCATCTGCCAGCAGAAGGCTACCCTCCAGGCGTGATTTGGAAGCAACTGCCGCAGCTTGCAACGAAACTGGGACACTTGATTGAAGGCTTTTGTCGTGAGGAGCCGTCTTGTAGGAGAGCTCAATGATGTCTTGGCCCACACGTACTGCAGGACCAGCTTGATATTGAAGAGCCCCAACACATCCTTCTGCTGTTTTAGGGGACGTCTTGAGATCAAGCTTCTGATCGAGAAGCAAAATGCCAGGCAAGGAGGTGTTGCAAGGGCAGTCATCCAAGCTACAACTCCTCACTTTCAGCTGACCATGCCGTACAGAAACGTTGAGCTCCAAGTCTTCGTAGTCTGCATGAGGGTCAGCGTAGACCGACACCAAAGACTTAAGGTCTGTGGGCTTGGACCCAAGGCTTAGCGAGCTGTTCTTGATATAGACCGACGAAGGTCGCGCTGGTCCCACTTGTGGCTTCAGGCTGTGCATGTACAACAAGATGCATGTCAGCGCCATGAAGATGAACAGTGTCAGGAACGCCAAACAGTTTCTCGCCCGATTCCGCTCTGCATTCTCCTTGTCCTGCCTTGCCTTTTCCGATCGCTTCCTCTGAGCACGGTAGCTCTTGTACTTGGTATCTGTCTGATCAATCAAGCTCTGCGGGTGAACACGAAGCAGTTGGTCTTGCAAGAGGAGGAAATCCGAATGCTCTGGGCACGCCAACTCAGACTTCCCCCAAGGATAGATACCATCACGCGAGACGATTGCCAAAGGCTGCCCTGGCTGTCGGAGCCTTGTCGATTCTCCCCCAGTGCCAACGGATTGCAAAACCTCGGCTGCAGGAGGTGTCAGAATTGTCAGCCGTACCTCCCTCCGGTCTCTCTTCTTCTGGTCAGGATCGAAGCCCATTCCCCTGCGTACTGCCGCACCCGAATGCCGGGTCATGTGAGGTGAGGCTAGACTTTCCGCAGCACGTTTAGAGATCTCTCCGGTCTCTCTTGCTCCCTCTCCCCCTCTTCCTCTCTCCCGCTCTCTCAAGCAAGCGCAGTCTCATATCTGTCGGGACAAAAGGCTTGGCCATCCTCGTCATTCTTGTAGTCGAACTCGTACCATAAGATTCCCGCGCTTCTCAAGGCTGCAGCGACCTTGCAATTTTGTATATTTTCATCTGAGGTCTGAGCGCTGAACAAGAGCACGAAACGAGGACACGCAGTGCCACGCAACAAGTGCCAGTATCACTGCAAAGTGACCGTCTGTCTGCGTTCTGCGAGTTCGGAGTCGGTAACTGTGTCTGCCTTTGCGATCAGCGGAATTACCGGAACTTCGAGCTGCAGCTGCTTCATGAACTCCTTGTCCAGTTCATGCATCCTTTGCGGTGAGATGAAATACAAGCAAACATGGATGCGCTCGTCAGTGCCTGAGTCAAGGCCTTCGGGAGAGTTCTCCGCTTCATAATGCCTCTCAAGCTGTTGATGCACATACTCCCGGATAGGCTGAATACGTGAAGAGTTGTCAATGGTATCACCATACCCCGGCGTATCGATGATGTTCACGTTCAGGTTCGTGTTGTGCAGGATCATAGTACTCATACCGCCCAGCATTGCATATCTTGATCGTTTTGGGTGCATTGGCATCACTCGGCAAAACTCTGTTCAACTTCTTCCATCCCCTCAAGAGAGCTGCAATGGCCGTGGTCTTGCCATTGCCGCTCTGTCCGGCGACCATGATGTTGAACGTCACCTTGTTCGGACGCACATTCAGGCGCCCTATCACACGAGCTGCTGACGTCACTTCACTCCAGGAGCCATCGTCCAAACCTCAGGGAGTCTTTGAAAGTAACACCCGAAACACTCTAGTTCGCAAGCTGTGTGGGAGTTTGAGTGCCAGACTGGAAGCCGCAGCAGACATGTCAACGACAATGGCGAGAAGACGTGTCGAACTACAATCTTCGAAGGCTTGGATCAGCTTTGAGCCACATGTCAAACAAGCCATTGATCATCAACGCAGAGTGGATGCAAAGCCCATGCTAATACAGAATTCATAAAATATGTCGGTATGTCGCAAGCACAAGCAACACGCTGGACTCAAGCATCGACCACCGGACGTGCTGACAGGACTTCTTCATGACCCTCCCACTGAGTTCACTTCAAGTGCCAGGCCACCGCTGCAAGCGATGCTATTGCCACTGATGCTGCTACCATGGCACACTGCCTCTACGACTACGACTACGACGATGCTTTGGAAGATGACTGCAAGCCATTTCTTCAGATCTGACCAGGAGCCAGAAGCCCAGGAACCTCGCCTTGGAACTCGTTCCCGACTCACTTGTGCCACTGCTGAGCACCATCGAAGAACTTGCTTGTGTCGATGCTTGTTGATCTTGCTACTGCTAGCCATACCCAGAGCAGCTAGAGCCACATGACTGCGGCAATGGAAGTCACCGAGCATCGGCTCACACAGGTAAAACGCACATTTCCGTTGCGGACGAGCCGAAAACACTGGAGTGTTGAGGATGTTTGTCGCAAAAATGCATATTCGCGAGAAGGCCTGATGCAGCTTCTAGCTCATTGACAATGTTGCTTGAAAATTCCGTCCTCGCCACAAATGCGCGTTTGTCCGTGTAAGCATGTCAAGTTTCATTTCTTGGTTCTTGTTGGCTTGACATGGTTGGGGGCCGCTAGGCTTGCACCGGAAGCATGGTCGCAACATCCACCAAATTTAGACTTGTGGGTTCTCTCCCGGGCTCTTTCCTATTGAGCCGTGTCTGGGCGGCGCAAGAGCAAGGAACAGCCAGGTTGTAGCGAAAAAAGTGGAAAGCTCAGCCAAGAGGAAGGTGGATCGTGTATATACTTCAACACACTTGGCCTCACGACGCAGAGTAGACTTCGGCATCTACACCTCAACATGCTAGCTTCAAAAATGCACATGCACGGAAAAATGTCTCTTGCCGCAACATGCACCTAAGATGTGTGGACTGAAGATTGCTTGATGGTTTGGGAGCAGCTTGGGATTCAAGCAACAGTACTAGGAAGAACATTGAGCCCGGACGTGAAGCGTTTTCAACCAAGCAGTGCTAAGACCAAAGTATCCAAAGCCTCAACGGTTGATCGATCTACGAGTTGCCTGTGGCTAGTTCTGACACGTAGCAAAGTTATTTGGGGTACCTCTCTATCCCCCCCAGTCTCCTTCCAGGTGATGCTGACTGACACCTCCCTGCTCTGATTTTGGAAAGAGTGGTTGCACATGAGGGCCCGAATCCGCCCCACATCAAAACCTCAAACCCCTATGCCTACAGCCCGAAAACCCCAAACCTGAAAGCCCGCAGCCTTAGGGCTCAAAACCCTCATCAGTCCTAAAGCCCCAAACCCTTAATGCTGGACAGATGCATCGGGGGGGAGGGCGGCGCGAGAGCCTCCATATCGACAAAAGCGACGCTTTTGGGTTTTTCTGGCTAAAGCGACGATTGTAGCCATTCCCGGCTGGATAACTACCCTGATGCTGTGCAGCGCAACCGCTGCCATCTCCCTCCGACATCGAGAGACCCAAAAGCCTCCCTCCTTCGCCGGAATAAGACGAAAGCCTTATATTTGCGTGATTTCAAAATCAACATGACCTTGTCATCCCTTTAAGGGGACCGGCCAAAAGAAGAGGGCAACGATCCGCCCTTCAGTCATTGGTGCAGCGCTCAGGCCGCGCATGTACCCTGGGCCCAAGAGCATGGCGAGCAGCGCCGCTGTGTACTCGCACACCACGCCGATGAAAGCCAGTTGGCAGTGGAAGGGCATCTCCCTCAGGCCATGGAGCGCGAAGGACGTGATGAGGGACCGCGGCTGGCCCATCTTCCGCCGCAGGCGGGCCCAGCGCGAGTCCTCCAGCGGACCCAAGCAGACCCGCCACTCTTGGTCTTCAGGCTCCAGCTCCGCGAAGTCGGCTGTGAGGTCCTTCGTCATGCTCTTGCGAGGACCGTGGCTGCCTGCCGGTGGCGTATCAGCATGCACGGGAGTTCGACTTCCCAAGACTTTGAATGAACCTGTTGCCCAAAACAACCCCCCCCCTCCACATTTCCTAAACGGCTGTCTGCTGCCGCTGTGGTACATATTACAGCGCGCTGCGGTACCCCAACGGAGGAGTCCTTTTCGGATGAGCGCGAACGGCCGGGATATAAAACAAACAATTCAGTAGCAAGGCCCGTTTGAAGAACGCCATGGCCTGTAGCAGGCGGCTGTACCTCCTGCACACGCCAAGGATCCGTGCTCGGAAAGTGGATCCGATGCTCCAATGCCAACCTTACCACCCAGTTTCCCTGCCCGCTTGAACGATTGATATTCCCGTTAGGGTTTAGGGTTTAGGGTTTAGGGTTTAGGGTTTAGGGTTTAGGGTTTAGGTATTAGGGTTTAGGGTTTAGGGTTTAGGGTTTAGGGTTTAGGGTTTAGGTTTAGGGTTTAGGGTTGAGGGTTGAGGGTTGAGGGTTTAGGGCTTCGGGTTTAGGGTTTAGGGTTTAGGCTTTAGGCTTTAGGTTTTAGGCTTTAGGCCTTAGGCCTTAGGCCTTAGGCTTCAGGCCTCAGGCTTTAGGCTTCAGGCTTTAGGCTTTAGGCTTTAGGCTTTAGGCTTTAGGCTTTAGGCTTTAGGCTTTAGGCTTTAGGCTTTAGGCTTTAGGCTTTAGGCTTTAGGGAGGCCAAGCAACAGCTGGGCCGGGTTGGCATTGCTCCCTTTGGCTTCGGCTTTGAGGAGACCTGCCGATGGTTGAGGAGTTCAGGGTCAGGATAGGTGATCAGTGCGATCTAGTTGTAGGTGGCCCCTTTTGGGGCACCCAAACTTTCAGGCTTCCGTTTTATTGTAGGAACCCCACAAAAAGATACAAATGAGAAGGAACCCCACAAAGGGACCATGATTTCGAGAACTGGCCAGCTCCAGCAAGATGGTTACGGCAAGAAGGGACCCGGCGAGGTGTCAGGCTGTGGCAAATATATTATTTTTATGCATCAATACAATAATTTCATTCAGTAAAAAAATAAATATACTGTAGAAATTTTGAAACTAATGGAATTGTGTGTTTAGTACGGATGATATAATGAATACATGAGATGATACATTAATATATCCAAAATGTGTAATCATAGTTAATGACAATGTAAATATACATATATATATATATATACATATGTATATGGGATATGAATCAGCATCATACTAGCAACAATCAAGACAAGGAATAGAATACAAGTATTGAATCATATATGCAAAATAACATATAAATATCTATTAATATATGGTGAAAATGTTACATTCTGGACTTACATGAAACAATTACTGATTATAATCCGGAATCTATGACAACTAAATAACAACATATTCTGTAAGTATCCCGGTTGAAGGACGGCTCACCCCCTTCGTGGGCACCCCATCCCAGAAGCCATTAACCTCGAACCGTTGGCGTTTCGGACCGCGCCTGGGCCAACCGGATTTACAGGGAGCAGCTCATTGACGACGATCTGATCCTCGACGACTTCCAAAACCATTGCAGTCACCAGCACACACGCCGCGGAGAGATTGAAGGTCGAGGCCTGCATCCCATGGGCTATACCTCGGTGACACCAGCTCTCATAAAGGTGTGTCAGTCAGCACGCGACCTTCTCTTCTCAAAGTATGGCCCAGGTGCCGCGCGCAATGACTAGAGCAAGCACTGTCAGGAACCGGAAGTAGCCCGCATAAATCTTCATCTCATCGTGGAGCTTGCTCCAGCCGCTTGGTGCAGCTATCGCCATGGCGGCTGGGCCGCCAAACAGCTTCTTGATGGTCTGGATGATCAGGAAGCGACTCCAGCCCAGCCTATGAACGTTTAACACCACAAAGCAACTGCACGCCTGCTGCCTATTTGAATATGGCCCTGGTTTTGCATGGAGGGCGGACAAAGCTGACAGCAGCAAAGCCAAAAGGTACAGGGAACATGAGCGTCTCATTCATCCAACGGATATGCTCGCAGGATCATCTCAAGCAACGATTGACTCCCATAGGTGAGTCACTGCAGGTGTGCCCTTAGATCTTCTCATGCGAGGCCTTTGCACAGCCTGAAGGAGATGAATTATTCGCTCATTCTTGCACTTCAACCCAACATAAGCCCTACATCCTCACATAAACCCTACAGCAAAGACCCCCCCCCCAACCCCCCCCCCCCAACCCCCCCCCCCCCCCCCAACCCCCCTCCCCCAACCCCCCCCCCCCAACCCCCCCCCCCCACTACCCCTGCCCCCCTTGCCTCGCACTGAGGTTGAGTGCCAAGCTCAAGCAAGAAGTTGGAATCCACGAGTAGCCACCGCTGGACACGGCGCCTGCAAAGGTGGCCACCAACCTGTGCAGCAGCCCCAGGCAGTCTAGGGCCAGGGTTTAGGGTTTCAAGTTTAAGGTTAGGGCCTAGAGTGTTTGGGGTTTAGGGTTTAGGGTTTGGGGTTTAGGGTTTAGGGTTGAAGGGGTTCCTCCCCTTAAGACCATAAGCCTTCAGTCAACCCCCCTGATATTGAACGGCCCTCACAGTACCATAATATTCTCCGGTGGGAATCTTGAATGTCCGGGGTAGCGGGCGGGGAGTGGCTGAGATTAAGCGGAGGGGATTCGTCAAATCGTTCATGAACCCGCCTGGTGGCTTCGGCAAAGCCATGTGCAGAGAAGACCAGGGCTGCGGCGGCTATCCCGAGCTGGTCCCCTGTGCATTGAGGGCTTAGGGTTTAGGGTTTAGGGTTTAGGGTTTAGGGTTTAGGGTTTAGGGTTTAGGGTTTAGGGTTGAGAATCCAAGGTGTCAAGTTTAAAGGTTTCTGTAGGGTTGCGGAGGTACGGATCTCGTCATCACAGCTCAGGTTCGGTGCGGCCACTGAGCCCGGCCTGCCACCACATGCCCATGCGACTGCCGGGCGGAGAACACCAGCTTGTCATAGGCCTTCCTGACTCGAGTTGCAAGAACAACTCGTGAAGCGAATGTTCAGTGAAGTTCAGTGCTCTGGTGCAGCAGAGTCTAAACGAAAGAGAAGAAAAGATGAGTAGCAAGGCGGCCTGGTGTAAATGATCATGCCAAGCTCGGCGAAGGCAGTTGCGAAGGGGAGGTAGATGGAAGCCACCGCTGCAAACCCGCCCTCAATAAGGAGCGCATACACCAAGCCAACAGCTCCCATAAGCACGTAGCACCCTGCTGTTCCTGCCAACTGGCCGATTGTCCACAGCAAGGAAGATAGAAAGCGTCGCTGAGGAAACTTGTGGCGGCTTGTGACATAAGATATGATAGGCCCGACTAAGGCTCCACCCAAACCAACCACACAGAGAATGAAGTCGGAGAACTCCAGAGGGGTGGCAGCCAAGATGGCCATGGCGGCAGCCATGCTCGAAACTTGCAGAATGGTTCCACTTGGCTTCTCCCCGGCTATTGCGTATGTTAGCATTTCGGTGCAGATTGCCTGACAAACGAGAGCCCACGTCAAGGCCATCAGCAAGTTCCGCCACCAAGGCATTGCACCCTCGGAAGCGAGCATTTCGTGATGAATCGACAGCAGCATCTTGCCGACCTGCCACACAAGAAGCAGGAGCTGGGCAGGGATGACAAACCTCCAGGAGAAAGTGCCGAAGGACCTGCTGTCCTGGTCACGGACGCCAACATCCAACGTCTTGGCCGTGGCAATGTCGGGATCTACCACCACCTGGCCTGACATGGCACAAACGGCGAAGCCCTGCCCATCCGTTACGTACACGTGGTCGCCGTGATTGCAACGCATCACAAGCAGACTGTGGTCAGCTGGAAGCTCGAAGGCATCAGGGCCATCCTTCGTCCAGTATCTCCGCACTTTTGCGCAAAGCTTGCGCCCAAGAGAAGAAATCCCAACAGATGCAGGCGGAGTTAGCCAAAAAAAGAAGCCTTCACCCCCATCAGTGTCGGAGACCCTTACCCGTGCATCTTCAGGACCTGCAGTCGTGATGTGACAAAGCCGTCCGCCTGCCTCAAGCCGACGACGCGCTAAAACCTCGTCGGCTTCTTCACCGCATCCCACGACGATTAGGCAAGCATCCGCGTACTGCCAGGTCGTCTCGCTCGCGGACTCTACCTCGAACTTGTTGATCTTGCTACTGCTCGCCATGGCCAGACAGGCTGGAGCCAAATGAGCCAAATGCCTGCGGCAATGCAGGTCAGCATGGGCTCACACGGCTGCCTCAACTCATACCGGGACACAGCCACCTGTCAGAGCACACACGCACACACAACACCAAGCGGCGGCGCTTCTAAGGGCCGTGCGGTTAGAGACTTGTTTTCGGCTACGTTGAACAAGGTGCGTACAAGAAACCCAGGTAAACGGCACGTTTCTGCTGCAGATGCAAACTTTGCAGGAGCCGAAAAGACTGGAGTCCTCGCCGCAACACGGGCATGCTTGTCCACATAAGCATGCGACTTTCATTTGTTGGCTTTTGCTGGCTTAACACGGGCTGGCCTCTACCGGTTGCACCGGAAGCATGGTGTCAGCAACATGCACTAGATTTGCTTCGGCGACAAAGATGGTGTTTTATTCGCTCACAGCTACGGATGCTGGGCTCCAGTCGGCAACGGGACGCAGAAGGGAGTTCTGGACTCTTGGGGTCTAGGGTAGGGTTTGGGGTTTGGGGTTTAGGGTTTAGGGTTGCCTCGTCTGCACGGCGAGCAAAGCCCAACCGCGAGGAAGACCTCCAGGAAAGAAAGTGGGAACTCGACCTAAGAACCGCACACCGCACTGGTATCTCCAGAGGAAATCAGGTGGATCGTGTACCCAGCTGCAACGGCATCCAACAGATGGGCCTCACCTGGGTTGACCTTACCAAGCGGTGATGCTTAGCCCGCAGGGGATGTCGACCACCGACGGGGCAGCTAGCAGTGAACCACTTTGGCATTCGCAAATGCACACAACGCTTATGTAGTTGGATGTGTGCCTATGTGTGCCTTGAATCCAAGTTTCTGCACCCTCACACGCTGGCGTCAATGTTGAGCCTAGACGTGAAGCTTTTTCAACCAAGTAGTGCTACGACGAGAAAGATCCAAAGCACAAAGCCTCAACGTGTGATCGATCTACCTGTTGCCTGTGTGTTCCAGCACGTAACAAAGATTTTGGAGCTCCAATGCTAGTTACTTCCAATGTTGCAAGAACACTTTCGGGCGACCACTGCCACAGCTGCCCCGAAGAGAACTAAGAAAACTTGAGGTGGTGTGTGTTTAGGGCACACTTGTAACTCTACTTGGTACCTACTTACCATGTTCCTCCAATAAAACCCTGGATGCGGCACCGCAGGGTGCAGGCGCGTGCTCGGCTGCTAGGCGCCGGCGCGGTCAGCCTCCTCGTCGCTGTCTCCTCACTTCAGGCTTTTAGGAGCTGCATCTTAAAGCTTAGGGCTTTTGAGGGATTCAGGATGTGGCCTCCAGCTCACCTCATACAGCACCCTACTCCTGACCAAAAACGACTGCACGCAGATGGCTCAACCGGCTGCAGCACAGAGACTCGGTGGCGGCATTACAAAAGGCCGCCCACCAACTCAAACTGGCTAGTGCCGGGGGTCTGCCGCAAGCGACATCAAACTGCCTGTGGATTTGGTACCACGCTGCAACAGGCAAGGTACGATGATCTCCCACACAGGCGCTGCCAGAACTTTCGAATTGCTTGTGGATTTTGCACCACGCTGCAACGGGCAAGGTACGATTTTCTCCCACACAGGCGCTGCCAGAACTTTCGAATTGCTTGTGGATTTTGTACCACGCTGCAACGGGCAAGGTACGATGATCTCCCACACAGGCGCTGCCAGAACATTCGAATTGCTTGTGGATTTTGCACCACGCTGCAACGGGCAAGGTACGATGATCTCCTACACAGGCGCTGCCAGAACTTTCGAATTGCTTGTGGATTTTGCACCACGCTGCAATGGGCAAGGTATGATGACCTCCTACACAGGCGCTGCCAGAACTTTCGAATTGCTTGTGGATGTTGGACCACGCTGCAATGGGCAAGGTACGATGATCTCCCACACAGGCGCTGCCAGAACTTTCGAATTGCTTGTGGATGTTGGACCACGCTGCAACTGGCACGGTACGATGATCTCCCACACAGGCGCTGCCAGAACTTTCGATTTGCTTGTGGATTTTGTACCACGCTGCAACGGGCAAGGTACGATGATCTCCCACACAGGCGCTGCCAGAACTTTCGAATTGCTTGTGGATTTTGTACCACGCTGCAACGGGCAAGGTACGATGATCTCCCACACAGGCGCTGCCAGAACTTTCGAATTGCTTGTGGATTTTGCACCACGCTGCAACGGGCAAGGTACGATGATCTCCCACACAGGCGCTGCCAGAACTTTCGAATTGCTTGTGGATTTTGTGCCACGCTGCATCGGGCAAGGTACGATGATCTCCCACACAGGCGCTGCCAGAACTTTCGAATTGCTTGTGGATTTTGTACCACGCTGCAACGGGCAAGGTACGATGATCTCCCACACAGGCGCTGCCAGAACTTTCGAATTGCTTGTGGATTTTGCACCACGCTGCAACGGGCAAGGTACGATGATCTCCCACACAGGCGCTGCCAGAACTTTCGAATTGCTTGTGGATTTTGCACCACGCTGCAACGGGCAAGGTACGATGATCTCCCACACAGGCGCTGCCAGAACTTTCGATTTGCTTGTGGATTTTGTACCATGCTGCAACGGGCAAGGTACGATGATCTCCCACACAGGCGCTGCCAGAACTTTCGAATTGCTTGTGGATTTTGTACCACGCTGCAACGGGCAAGGTACGACGATCTCCCACACAGGTGCTGCCAGAACTTTCGAATTGCTCGTGGATTTTGTACCACGCTGCAAAGGGCAAGGTACGATGATCTCCCACACAGGCGCTGCCAGAACTTTCGAATTGCTTGTGGATTTTGTACCACGCTGCAACGGGCAAGGTACGATGATCTCCCACACAGGCGCTGCCAGAACATTCGAATTGCTTGTGGATCCTGCTCCATGCTGCAACCGGAAGCACGCGATGATCTCCCGCACAGGCGCTGCCAGAACATTCGAATTGCCTGTGGATCCTGCTCCATGCTGCAACCGGAAGCACGCGATGATCTCCCACACACGCGCTGCCAGAAGTTTCAAACTGCCTGTGGATCTCACGCCATGCCGCAGCAGGCAGACTGCGATGATCGCCCGCATAGCAGTTTAACGACTCTGCGTCGTGGGAGTGGCGGCTTGCGCCATGCCGCAGCAGGCAAGTCTCGGTAGTCGCCCACCGGCGCGTTGACGGATTGCTGCTGGGAAGAGCTGCCTGTGCGCAACTGTGCTTGGACGTCAGTCGGTGGGCTTTCTGGAAAGGCCGGTCGCAAGGGTTCTGCTGAGTTTTGCGGAAGGCATCCCGGCAGTGACGCTTCCGCCCCGCCTCCTTGCATCACATTTTGCTGCACGCGGACTCTTTGCAAAGCCCAGCTTGTGGCCGGTCTGATGTCAAACGGATCTTCACGGAGGACAGGCTGAGAATTTTTGCTCAACACGATCCAGCCCTGAAGATTCAGGCCTGTGGTCATGTACTCCACCCTTGCAGCTTTGTGACGAATCTCCTCCACCTTGACGTAGCTGCCTGGGCGCAGAATGCCCACGACCTCCGCTTCTTTGGACTTGGCATCTCGCACCTTCACTTCTTGTAGCACTTTCGCCCTCCCAGGGCGCAGGGGCTGCTTATGCGGTAGAGCCTGGCAGCACTTTGAGAGCAAATGGGCTTTCGCTACCACATGTCATGAATACAACGGGGCCGTCGCACGTCGCTCTCGCCCTGGAGCTTGCAACTCCTGGCGCTCTTCATGGCCCGAGTTGCAACTACCCATGAACCAGCAAGCTCAAGCAATCTCAACAGCGACAGGGGTCTGGCTTGCAAAGCACGGCGGGTCCTCCAGTCGGAGCTTCTGCTGTATTTGCTGCTGTCCACTGATGGACTGGCGGCCGAGGAGCCGAGGATCCTCCGCTCCACTGCGGCAAACGGCCGCAGCGGAATCCATGGCCCCCCCCCCCTCCCCACTCTTCCTTCCGCCCCCCTGCGCTGCCCACTCAAAGAGCGGCCAGACCGGTATAAACTGCATAAGCTTCTCACAATCCTCAAAGGCGCCAAAGTGTCGCACGGTTACAGTCACCATCTCGAAGATGAGAGACAACTTCAGCCCGTGCTGACACGCAGTCTTGCAACGTCTTGCATGACGACGGTTAACGTGAAGCTGCTCCTGGCGCCAGCACAAGCTCTGTACCACGAAGGGCCCGAGCTGCTCCGCGGGATCCTTGACACAAGCTTTCTACAGCGAGGACTCCACTTCGGGGGGATTCGAGCTTGTATGAGGAGAAAACACTGGGAGAAAAAAACTCGGCGGCTGGCACACGCAGCCAGCTCAGCCATGTTCTTAACAAAGCGCTGCAGGAAACTCGTTGCTCTGATAGACACCCACTTTGACGCTCTTGCTCGCACACTGAACATACTTCTGGGACTGCGGAGGAAAATGCTTCTGTGTGGCTCGGGAAGAACCTTGGGCCTAGACGCGACGCTTGTTTCCAACCCAATAGTGCTAGGACCAAACTAAACGGGTGATCGATCTACGTGCTGCCTCTGGCCAGTTCCACCCCGCCCCTCCATTCTCGCTATTAAAGCAAAAATGCACCCTTCTGAACTGCTACCTTCTCTGATCTGCTAAGCGTTGGAAGGAATGGCAATGAGCCAACCTTGTGCACATAGACGATGCACGTGCGAAAATGCCTCACCCAACAGCATCACAAACTCACAGGCCAAACCTCGAATCAACCCCCAAAAAACGCCAAACATGCGGTGGGGGAGGGCCGGTGACAGGCGAGCAACCACATGCGATACCGCGCGCGGTTCCATGTCGCATGTCCCCCAAAAATGACATAGTAAGTAGAGCTAAAGTTGGGTTACTATTTAGGATGGCTCCGAATAGGTTTCGGGCACACTTGTAATTACCTGCGCCTACTTACTATATGCACCCGATCCCCAAGTAAACCCTCCTAGACGCGGCACCTGTCAAGGTGCAGGCGCGCGCCAGGCTGCTAGGCGACGGCGCTGTCAGCCTCCTCGTCGCTGTCTCCTGACTTCAGGCTTTCAAGAGCTGAATTTGAAGCTTAAGGCTTGTGGACGGATTCAGGATGTGGCCTCCAGCTAACCTCGTACATGTGAACTCATTTTGTTTCTGACCAGCTTGCTCCGATTCGGTGCACAGCGTCCAGAACTTAGAATCTCAACCGGCTGCAGCACAGAGACCCGGTGGCCCAACTCAAAGTGGCTGGTGCCGGGGGTCTGCCACAAGCGACATCAAACTGCTTGTGGATTTTGTACCACGCTGCAACGGGCAAGGTACGATGATCTCCCACACAGGCGCTTCCAGAACATTCGAATTGCTTGTGGATCCTGCTCCATGCTGCAAGCGGAAGCGCGCGAGGATCTCCCACACAGGCGCTGCCAGAACATTCGAATTGCTTGTGGATCCTGCTCCACGCTGCAACCGGAAGCACGCGATGATCTCCCACACAGGCGCTGCCAGAACTTTCGAATTGCTTGTGGATCCTGCTCCATGCTGCAACCGGAAGCACGCGATGATCTCCCACACAGGCGCTGCCAGAACTTTCGAATTGCTTGTGGATCCTGCTCCATGCTGCATTCGGAAGCACGCGATGATCTCCCACACAGGCGCTGCCAGAACTTTCGAATTGCTTGTGGATCCTGCTCCATGCTGCAACCGGAAGCACGCGATGATCTCCCACACAGGCGCTGCCAGAACATTGGAATTGCTCGTGGATCCTGCTCCATGCTGCAACCGGAAGCACGCGATGATCTCCCACACAGGCGCTGCCAGAACTTTCGAATTGCTTGTGGATCCTGCTCCACGCTACGCGATGATCTCCAGGCGCTGCCAGAACATTGGAATTGCTCGTGGATCCTGCTCCATGATGCAACCGGAAGCACGCGATGATCTCCCACACAGGCGCTGCCACAACATTCGAATTGCTTGTGGATCCTGCTCCACGCTGCAACCGGAAGCACGCGATGATCTCCCACACAGGCGCTGCCAGAACTTTCAAACTGCCTGTGGATCTCACGCCATGCCGCAGCAGGCAGACTGCGACGATCGCCCGCACAGCAGTTTAACGACTCTGCGTCGTGGGAGTGGCGGCCCTCGAACTTGTCGTGGATCTTGCGCCATGCCGCAGCAGGCAAGTCTCGGTAGTCGCCCACCGGCGCGTTGACGGATTGCTACTGGGAAGAGCTGCCTGTGCGCAACTGTGCTTGCACGTCAGTCGGTGGGCTTTCTGGAAAGGCCGGTCGCAAGGGTTCTGCTGAGTTTCGCGTGCAAGGCATCCCGGCAAGTGACGCTTCCGCGCCGCCTCCTTGCATCACATTTTGCTGCATGCGGACTCTTTGCAAAGCGGGGCCCAGCTTGTGGCCGGTCTGATGTCAAAAACGGATCTTCACGGAGGACAGGCTGAGAATTTTTGCTCAACACGATCCAGCCCTGAAGATTCAGGCCTGTGGTCATGTACTCCACCCTTGCAGCTTTGTGACGAATCTCCTCCACCTTGACGTAGCTGCCTGGGCGCAGAATGCCCACGACCTCCGCTTCTTTGGACTTGGCATTAGCAATTTTCGCCGTGGTCGGCAAATTCGGCTTAACGAGTAATCCCAAAACCCAGAAACATGACCAGCGCATCACGTCGTTCTTTCTGCCGAAACAAAAGCGTTCGTAGGTTGTTATCTCAAAAGGCGCTACCAAGCTCAAGTTGCTCTTTGCGCACGAATGGTTTGCAAACCCGGCACCAAACAACCCACAGGCACACAACACGAACATCATTTATCCGGCCCACACAACATAAGCATCATTTATCTGGCTGCGCTGGTGGAAAGTTACAAGACGCAAGCTCATGCTCAGCATGAGGTCAGCGCAACGCCGCTGCACATGTCAGATTGAGCCTACAAGCCACAACGACATAGCACTTGGGCACCAGGCAGACCAGGCGCATCACGAAACTTTGAGAGTACGCCCGTCTGCAAAAGCACACGGGACAGGATGTCAGCCAGCAAAAACCTCGGGACGCGCAAATTCCAGAGCGGTGCACGAAAACCGCGAAAACCGCGAAAACAATCACGGAACGCGTTTTTGGGATTTCTGGGCAGCGGGGGATCGCGCGAGAGTCGGGGAGAGTCGGGGGAGAGCCGGAGGCGGGGAGAGTCGAGGAGAGTCGGGGAGAGTCGGGGAGAGTCGGGGGGCGGGGGAGGTCGAGAGGTGATTAGAAAGGAGGCAAGTCGGGGAGAGTCGGGGAGAGTCGGGGAGAGTCGGGGAGAGTCGGGGGCGGAGGCCGGGCGTGGGAGCCGTGGGTCTGGAAATTTGGCTGGAGACTGCGGGCTGGTTTGGCGGGATTTTGGCCGCGAAAACAAGATTTTATTGGATTTTTTTCGAAAATACAAATCTGCTGACGCAAAGGCATTTTCGCGCCACCACGTCCGGCCGCTCCGCGTAACACAAAAAAACCTACCCGCGGCCCCCAGCCTGTGTGACTGGCAGGGCTGATTTCAACCCAACGGGGGGGAATCCCGTCGAGGTCTGAATCCCGAGGGAGGGGAGTAGGGATTGCCACCTCTTGCTGCGGTGCAGCGCAAACAGGATGAATGAGGTTTATAATGGACAGACACACGCAACAAGATAGGACGACAAGTAATCAGCTCAGGCAACTGCACAAGTCTGCAGGACCCACAAGCCAAAAACATTCAAAGCAACATTAGTCTGCCTTCAAAAAAATATCTTGCCAACATCAGAGCGGCAGCAACGCTGCGTAAATTTGTTACTGGCCATATCCCCTTTAATTCGGACATCCCAGAACTGCCAACCCTCCTCGGTGAAATTCACTACTTGGCATCTCGCACCTTCACTTGAGCACTTTCGCTCCCAGGCGCAGAGGCTGCTAATGCGGTAGAGCCTAGCAGCACTTTGAGAGCAAATGGGCTCGCTACCACATGTCATGAATACAACGGGGCCGTCGCACGTCGCTCTCGCACGGTTCTCCAGGGGCGGGGGGGGGGAGATCGGAGCTTCTGCTGCACTGTCTAGACCGGCATAAACTGCAGCCAAAGACCTCTTGAGCCCAACAACATGTCTAGTAAAGTGTCGCACGCACCATCTCGAAGATGAGAGACAACTTCAGCCCGTGCTGACACGCAGTCTTGCAACGACTTGTATTACGACGGTTAACGTGAGCTGCTCCTGGCGTCCAGCACAAGCTCTGCACCACGAAGGCCGCGGAATCCTTGATACAAGCTTTCTACAGCGAGGACTCCACTTCGAGGGGATTCGATTGTATGAGGGGGAACAAAACTGGGAAAAAAACTCGGCGGCTGGCACACGCAGCCAGCTCAGCCATGTTCTTAACAAAGCGCTGCAGGAAACTTGGCTCTGATTGACACCCACTTTGACGCTCTTGCTTGCACACTGAACGCACTTCTGGTATCCCTCCCAGTGCGTTACGCAAAGGTTTTAATGTGTTGGCACGTTCCTGCGCTGCTAGTCCGGCCTGCTTTCAGGCAACAAACATCCCCTTGCGCCCGTGCAAAGCAAAAGCCGACTACCTCTCATCCAGAGTGCTCCTTTCGACTGACTCAGTCTTTTTTTTTGAGGTTCTCATATGAAAAATACCGAGGCTCACTCTGGCAACACAGCAGCTACAAGCTCATCCCGGCTACGGCAAATCATGAGGGTCCCGGAGTTGAGAGCTGAAAAAAGAAAAGCTGAAAGACCCTTGCACTGTTCCCAAGTTACTGGAGACAACTGACAGTGCCCTGGAGTGACCTCCATCAAGACGCGTGGCGATTCGGACGTGCACAATGCGGATCCATGGTGAAGGCAGAAGACAAATAGTTGGCGTAATACATTCTTGGCTTGTCCTTTGGCTTGAGCTTCGTTGCTCGAGGTGGTCAAGCCACCAGAGACGCCGTAGAAGGGGTGGAAGTCCG